ACGATAGCCTCGCACGCCTCCCCCTCACGCTCGTTATCCCCCTCCCCGGTTTTGTTCGTAAATGAATCCATAGTCGATCCCACGAGTGTGGTCGGAAAGGAGGTCACCCCGGGTAGAGCCGCCATACCCGGGGAAGGCTAATACGCCCGGGGGGTCGCCAGGTACCCCGGGGTTGTCCGCTAACGATTGGTGCACCCACCAACCATAGCTGGCGCTTACTCCAGCTACGCCCTNCACCAACCATAGCTGGCGCTTACTCCAGCTACGCCCTCTTCACCGCGCAACACTGCTTGGGGCTAGGGATTTTTTAGAGAGGTTGTCATCCTCGCGGTCCGGCCGGTTAAGGCAAGACCCCCGTTCCTGTAAAACATGACCACAGGTTTACGGTATGTGTCCGACTTTAGTTGACCCCTCACCTCAACCCACACCAGCTAGGTAGAACCTGCCAGGTAATAAATTCCCCGCTGGCACAGCCTTGAGGATCATTAGGGCACGAAGCNAAGGCGTACGGAGCCTGTGTATACCTCCGTTCTACAGATGCAGAGGGTCAAACGCAGGTGGAACTCCTAGCAGCCAAATCGAAGGTTGCACCGTTAAAGAGTCAATCTATCCCGCGACTCGAATTGTGTGGAGCCTTATTACTATCATCGCTCATTAATACTATTCATAAAGCATTACACATACACATCGACCGCACGATTTTATGGACAGATTCAACAATAGTTTTGCATTGGCTTAATTCGTCACCTCATACATTAAAAACATTCGTCGCCAACCGGGTGTCCGAGATCCAGTCCAAAACAAAGATCAAAGAATGGCGCTACGTTAGCTCAGCTGATAACCCAGCAGATCTCATTTCTCGAGGACAACCAATAGAGGAGTTCCTTCGACCATCCATCTGGTGCAATGGCCCAACTTGGCTTCACCAGGATGAGTCATACTGGCCAAATGGAAAATTAGCACCTGTTCTCGATGACTCGGAGCAACGGGTTGCTGTCTGCCTAGCTATGACCACCATCGACGCAAGTTTGCTCGAACGGTTCTCGTCGTGGAGCAGGCTTTTGAAGCCGTTGTTGACCAGTGAAGCCTTTGTTGCAGCTTTGGGACGATTCATAGCAAGANACTCGGAGCAACGGGTTGCTGTCTGCCTAGCTATGACCACCATCGACGCAAGTTTACTCGAACGGTTCTCGTCGTGGAGCAGGCTTTTGCGGGTCGTTGCATGGTGCCTACGGTGGAAGCCAGGACGGATGACGAAGGGTACTCTACAGGCAACCGAGCTAGCTCGAGCAAGGACAACTGTTATAAAATTATTGCAACGATCTTACTTCGCAGACGAATTCCATCTCATACGACAGCATCGGCATCATAAGATCACCGGAAAATTAGCGAGACTACATCCATTCATTGACCAAGACGGAATACTACGAGTCGGAGGTAGACTGAGAAATTCAACGTTGACATTCACCCAAAAACACCCTATTATCCTACCTAAGTCGCACACAACCAACCTCATCATCCAGAACGAACACATAATTCACATGCACGCCGGTACTCAAGCTACATTATATGCAACAAGAAGAGCGTACTGGCCCATAGACGGGCGAAGTCAAGTTTGGAAAACGATTCGGAGTTGCGTCCGCTGTTGTCGAGCCAATCCACCTCATGCCAATTACGTAATGGGTGATTTATCAAAGGCCAAAGTCACAGAATCTCGTCCGTTTACAAATGTAGGAGTAGACTACTGTGGGCCTTTTTTCGTGAAAGAACGAACATACAGGAATCAGCGTCGCATAAAAGTATACATAGCCGTTTTTGTATGCCTCGCGGTAAAGGCCGTCCACCTCAAGCTTGTCGGCGACTTGACCAGTGAAGCCTTTGTCGCAGCTTTGGGACGATTCATAGCATGACGAAGTTTTTGCAAAAATCTATACTCCGACAACGGTTCCAATTTCATCGGA